CTGGGAATGCCATTGCTTTGACCATGCAGACTTTGGTTGGCAGGGGCTAGGCAGGCTTGCTCAAAAGTCAGTGTCCCTTCCCATGGAAGAGATGCAACAGCCTGGCATGCTTTGCTCAAAAAGCAAAATTCAGGTGGGGTAGCTGTGTTGGTCCGAGGCAGCAGAACAAAGTTGGAGTCCAGGGGCAGCTTTGAGACCGACAAAGTTTTATTCAAAGAGTAAGCTTTCGTGTGCCAAGCAGGCTCCTTCAGGTCTTGGGGAAGCATGTTTTGCACATGAAAGCTTACACTTTGCATAATACTTGGTTGGTCTCAAAGGTGTCTCTGGGTTCGGACTCTGCTTAAAAGCAAAATGCGAGTCCAGCAGTGGCACTTTTAAGACCAACAAAGTTCAGTTCTGGGTGTAAGATTTTGTCTGCGTGCACCCTTCATCAGATTCGATACAGTTTTCCTCAAGCCTTACATATATAACTATTGCTTTAATCCAATCTCATCTGTACTTATCACCCGATTATTTACGGATTTTGATCCTTACTAGCCCTTCCTGGGATTTGCGGTGTCTCAAGTGGCTAAGACGCTGAACTGCAGGCTGTGGAAGGTCGGTAGTTCAGCAGTTCGAGATCCGTGTGTGCCGCATGACGGAGTGAGCTCCCATCTCTAGTTCCAGCTCCTGCCAACCTAGCCGTTTGAAAGCAAGAAATTGCAAGTAGATAAATAGGTACCACTTCGGTGGGAAGGTAACAGCGTTCCGTGCGCCTTGGTGTCTAGTCATGCCGGCCACATGACCACGGAAATGTCTTCGGACAGCGCTGGCTCTTCAGCTTTGAAACGGAGATGAGCACCGCAACCCTAGAGTCGGATTCGACTGGCTTTCGAGCAAGGGAACCTTTACTTTAGCCCTTCCTGGCAACTGCCCCCCCAAAACCCCTCTCTACCTATAAGTATGGCTTTAGGAAAACTACTTCAGTGTATCTGAGGACTGTGCATGTACACAAAAGCTGATAACCCAAAATAAAACTTTGTTGTTCTTAAAGGTTCCACTGGACACAACCTTTGTTCTGTTGCTTTAGACCAACACAGCTACCCACCTGAATCAAAAGCAAAGTGGTTCTGTGCTTCGGACTAAAGAGCCCAGTCCTAGGTGTGCTTACTCAAAAAGTGTTTCCGTACATGGGACTGATGTTTATTTATGTTTACTTAAAATAAGTGTTTCTGTGCATGAGACTAATAAACCCAGCCCTAGGCATGCTTACTCAAAACTAGTCCAGCTGGTTTGCTAGCCTCCAGGTGAGACAGCAACTTATCAATATCACAATCACCAGTCCCACCAGACTTTAGTAGTTTACCTGTTTTGAATCAAGGACCATGATGTATACAAAGGACATATAAAGGAACCCTTGTGGCAGACATAATAACCTATCTAGGATAGCATAGAACTTGAGAGACCCTAGAAAATATGCTGCTATCTTAAGAATTTTTGTGCTAACAAAGAGAAATTATTGTGCTTTATGTCCATTATATACGTCAGGGTTCTTGAAAAAGACTGTATTCGAAACAGGTAAATTACTAGAGTCCCGTGGGACTAGTGACTGTGATACTGACAAGGTGCTGTCTGAATATTTGAACAGAATGTAAACCTGCACTTTGATGTTTTGTTTGGGTGAAGCCTCCAGGTGGGGCCTGGAGATCTCCTGGAATCACAAGGGATCTCCAGGGTACAGAAGTCAATTCCCCTGCAGAAAATGGGTGCTTTGGAAGGTGGGCTCAAGGGCATGATGCCCTCCTGAGTTCCCTCCCTTCCCCAAACACCACCATCTCCAACCTCAAATCTACGGGAACTTCCCAACCCAGAGTGGCGTCCAGCAATGTTCATTGTTTTGCTGTTTAATGGAGGGTTCCGGAGTGTGTTCTGAGGGAGCTGAATATGACAGTCGACACGAGTGCGTGGCATCCCAGAGCCTATTGTCAGACTCCTGGTCAAGAGACTCCCAACAACGCTGTCTTTGCAGTGATTTGTTTATTGAGATGTCAGCATGATCCAGGCTAGAACAGTACCGTGTCAGATCCAACCCTCCCCTCTAAGCTGTGGAGGCCTGTGAGCAAAAATTCTACTTTGTGAGCTGCTGGCATTAAAGTTGTGAGCGAGTGATTTGGCTACTGCATAAATCGGTCTGCTCTGGAGCCCTCCGTCCGGAGCTAAGACAAAAATGTGTGAGCCAGAGGCTAAAAAAACTGAGCTAGCTCAAACTAACTCCGCTTAGAGGGAATGCTGGTCAGAACTGAGGTTCTGTCGGGAAGATTCAGAGATATAAACAGTTCAAACAGCCCCCCCCCCCAATGACCAATCAGACTTTGCAGCCATCCCACCTAGCACTTGCGTTCACTACCCCCACACACACACACCTGGGAATACACAATCCCGTTATCTACAATAGCCAGCTGGCACAGCTCTGGTTTCAAGGCCGTCCCTCAAGGAGGGAGGTGTCTTAAGGAAGAGTTACGATGCCTATTGATAGTGCAGCTCACAGATTTTTAGCCTCCAGCTCACACATTTTTGTCTTAGCTCAGGAAGGATGGCTCCAGAGCAAACTAATTCATGCCATAGCCAAATCGCTCGCTCACAACTTTAACGCCAGTAGCTCACAAAGTAGAATTTTGGCTCATAAGACTCCACAGCTTAAAGGGAGCATTGGTTGTGAGTCCTTTGCCACTCATGCTCCCTGCTTGACACACTGTGCCCCGGTGCCATCAGGGAAAGGGCTGCGGACAGTGCAGACGGCTGTGAGCATGGGCAGTGGGAGGGCATGCAAGCAGGGCGGGGAAGGATGCCCAGGCTGGTAGTGTGGCACAAGGGTGAGTGGGTGGGAAGGGCACTCTGCCTGAGGGCCCCCCAAATCCGGAACCAGCCCTGCCAGGGCCAATCCTGCTTAGTGTCCAAGATCTGATGAGATCAGGGCAAAGTAAAGGTCCCAGGTTCAGTCCCCGGCATCTCCAGTTGAAAGGACCAGGTAGAGGGTGATGATGTGAAAGACCTCCTCTGCCTGAGACCCTGGAGAGCTGCTGCCAGTCTCAGTAGGCAGTACTGACCTTGATGGACCGATGGTCTGATTCAATATAAGGCAGCCCCATGTCTTCATAAGTTAAGGTAAAGGTTCCCTTGCTCGAAAGCCAGTCGAATCCGACTCTAGGGTTGCAGTGCTCATCTCCGTTTCAAAGCCGAAGAGCCAGCGCTGTCCGAAGACGTTTCCATGGTCATGTGGCTGGCATGACTAAACACCAAGGCTCACGGAAT